ATCAATTGCATCTTCTAGGGTGGTGATATGTTGCTTACGAGCCGCTCCATTCAAATAATCCTTTAAACAAATGCATACTTCCACCGACTCGGGACTTAGTCTTGATCTCCGTTGCGATATAACCCTGCCACTAACAAAAAAAGCGGATTCCGAAGCTACCGTAGAAGCTTGGACGGTTAATAAATCACAGGCCATGGCGGCTGGAATCGGAAATTGTGCTTCCTTTTCTTTCCACCAAGCCAAAATATCCAAACTTTCAAACTCTTCAAATGTCATTTTTGATAGAAAATCGCATGACATGTAATTTCCCAACTCGCTACTTAGGGTGGTAGTACGTGATCGTTTGGATTGGAAATTTACAAGAGTGTTAAAAAGATTCAAATTTATGTTACTTGGACGTCTACTAGATGATTCCGCATTCATTCTCATTTGATCGTGTATTACACTACTTGATTCGTATTTAGTTAAATAAATTGCAAACATGTCTGGAAAACATTTGTTAAAATAATTTATTTGGTTTTGGACAAAGTTGGGTTCATCATCGGTTAGATTAAAAGCAAACGCAATTTGTTCAATTAGTGTTTCAACCCCGCCAACATTTAACGTTGGGTTTAAAGCGGCGGCACAAGTAAAAATGGGGGGAATCTCCTTAAAATATTTTAAAAGTTTTTCCTTCATTGCAAAGCCAATTTCTTGAAAAACTTCGATTTCAAATTCAAAGTCATTTAGTCGGGTAGCCAACAAAAATATTTGATTAAGAACCAACGGGCTAGTAGGGTAATAAACACCGGATAAAAAAGTTGTTGCATTTTTAAAAACCCCAAGCAAATCGGTTATTTTGGCTATAGTTTCCCAACTCGAATCCGAATAAATGTTTGGGACATGACCCCTCTCGAAAAGCCGATCATGAAATGTTTGCAATGTTTCCCTTTGCCTTAAGGCAGTATGCATCATCATCCAAGTTGAGTTCCAACGAGTTGGACAATCCAAATTAGGACCCAAAGCTTTTTTATTAACGGACTTACAAAATCGTTTATAATCATTTAGTCTTTTGTTGTTGTTACAAAGAACCGATTTTATCATTGTTTTAAATTCTAATCTAATCGGCTCAATAACCTCCAAACCGGCTTGCACGGATAAATTAATTATGTGTGCAACGCAACGGGTATGAAAAAACGCACCGTCTAAAATGGTGAAAGTAATATTTTCAATCTTGGAACGCGTTTGTATTATTCGATGCATTATCAAAGGATATAGAAAAAACTTTATTTTCTAATTTATAAAGACAAATTACCCTTTTTAAAAGTGTAAATAAATTAGTACCGGTATGCGGCTCACCGAATAATTCAAACGCGATTGTTCTTTTCATCATTTGCCAATTATCTTGATCTAACCAATGTGACGTAACGGCTAAAAAAGAATTTCGGTATTATGAGGGGAACTCCAAACGTCACATGTAAGCGACACACCATAACGGTGTTCTTGGAATCCTAAAATCATTTTTCCCTCGCCGTACGCCACAGTTTTATAGCATCTCTTCTAAGGGTAGTACGACTTACTTGAGTATAACGTGGTTGCATTAGTTGTTGAATTGTTGTCGTGAAATCTTCATCATCAAAGTGGTCGAACGGCAATGCTTTTGTAATCACGAACTTTGTAAACGCTTCTCGTAATTTTTCGTTGTCGTAAACAAAAACACCACTTTGCGGTGTAAGATTCGATTGACTAGGATCCGATCTTGAGCGAAGTGCCTTGCATGATTTTGTCAAATGGTTCTTTAACATTGTGTTTCCTTCCGATGCAAGCAACTTTAGACAAAGTTTACAACGCGCCCTCCTCGAGCCATTTGACATCTCACATAAATCGTAGTGATCTCAAATATCTTTGTTTCGAGTGTGTTCGATCACTCTCACGACTTCAAGGTTTCCCCCGACGGAAGATTCAGCCGTGTTACTCATGATGAACAAAAAATTACAAAAATAAAATTTGAGAGATGTTTAGGTGTTGTGTAATAAGATTTGAGAAAGTTGTAATAAACCAAATACATCCCCAATCTATTTATACATGTTTAGGGTGGTAAAATGGTAAATTTTTAAAGAAAAAAACGGTCAAAAAGGGTCACAAAACCCCCCAACGGCTATATTAATGGCTAGTTTTTTAAACCCAGACCGGTTTTTTTTTTCGGATAAAAACCGGTTTTTTATCCGTTAAAAAAACCGGTATAGGTTTTTTCCCAAACCGGTTAAAATAAACGCTTTAAAAAATCCGATCCAGTTAAAAAAAACCAGTTTTTCCCAAATCCGGTTTCGGATATTTTTTTCGCAAAATCAGATATTCGGATTTTTTGTGCACCCCTAATGGGCAGCATGGGCTAAAGAACATGGAAAGTGACGTGGTTAGTGGGATTATGGGTTTAATCAAAGAGCCGAATATTTCCCTAATTAAAGACCAGATTAAAGACTAAATATCCTTAATATTTGGTTAAATTATATGTTATATATTATACAATATTAAAATTTATAAATTAGTCTCTAAAATTACACCTAAATTCATAATGGTCCAAAATTTAATAGATATTTAGCTGGGCGGGCGGATGTGGGGCGGGCGGATGCGGGGCGAGTAATGTCTCAAACCCATTACGCCCACCACCCACGACGGGTACCACTTTATAAATCCACACCCGCCCACTACCCGCTAAAATTATACCCATCCCCGCTCCAATTGGAGCGGATGCGGTGCGGAATCCACGAAACTGTACCCGTTTGTCATCCCTATTGGTGAGACTTATATTTTGATTTATAAGGAAAGTGTAAAATCAGTGTTTGATTAATTTGATTGAGGGCAACTTGTGATAAGTCAACCTCGTATTATTTTAGAATATGTTTTCTATTTTAAATAGGAATTATTTATATAATGTTCGTATGAATGTTTAGGGTATGAATTGCCCAAATTATGATTTTTATGAGAATGATATTGGGAAAATGCTATTGATTTGAAATGTTGAATTATAAATGATATGAATTTAAAATAAAGTCCATTGTATATTGCATTGAGAGTCGTAGGTACAATTGGCATACCATGAGGTGGAGTGATTGATATACTGTGGTGTTACAGATGGGTAAACTAGTATATTTCAAATGTAATTGCACTTTGTATGCATATAACGATTTCGATGTGATAGCATTATGTGTGCTTATGATATATTGTGGAGTTACCGGTGGGTACACTAGAATATTTTAGATGTGATTGCACTTTGTGTGCATATTATGATTCTAACATGATAACATTGTGTGTGCTAATATGTTTTGATTGAGATGATAGCACTGAAGTGTTTACTGCACACACTTGTCTGACTCACGTACCTTATATTCTCTTACATATACATTAGGCTATAAAAGTAAATGTGCAAGTTATGACATAATATGAAAGAAATGAACATTGAATTGAAAGGAAAGTTCTCAAATATGTTTGAATGAAAAGAACATAAGTTTTTTATGATATTCGATATTGACTTACATAATTTTTGATAAAATCATGAGATAATGATTTTTCAGGTTTTCAATATGAAAACAACATGAATATTCTAGTTTGAAAGTTTTAATGTTTTTATTTAAATTACAGATTTATGTTTATAATATTTTATAGAATTTATGTTTTATCTCATTTTAGCTATATCACTACCTCACTAAGTTTTACTTAGTGCGTGAAATTTTTTATGTGTAGGTTCGAGTAAAGAAAAGAATGTGAAGTGAGGAGTTATATGAGCATCTTATGGAAGTCAAACCTACCTACAGAATTAGTAATACATCATATCTTTTACTTATTAGTGGCATGTACATTACATCTGATGGTATGTTTTATTGAATTTATTTTAAAAGGGTCTGTAACAGTAACTGATTATTTTCTTTAGTTTTGACTAATTATAGTATCTAATTTTATTTTTGAATGAATAGTTTAAATGTTATATTTGAAATGGTTTTTAAATTAAGCAATATTTAGGTAGTGATATATAATTATGATCATCTTTGAACTGCCTACTTACTGATTGAAATTGGATTTGTTTGCAGTGATTAAATATTCTTTTAAGATTTTATACGAATAAGATAAAAGTTTTTAAGTTAAAACAATGGAAGTGTAAAAAGAATCGATATTTTAAGTCTTTATGCTCAGCAAATAATTGTTAAATTAATGTGACATATATAACTTGTATATCGAGATATATATGTACTATGGGTGTTACATGGTAAGCATTCCACTTGACTCTCAAGAAAATAAATTAAGGGTGGATAGAGATGAAGTCAACCGTGAGCGAGCTATTATAGAGAAGCCTGATTCTACCTGAGAAACCATCGGCCTCCACCCTAAAGGAATTTTTAAAGCTGAGCTTAACGATTATACTGTCTGCCTTACGACCGCTCACATGAGGTTCCAAAAAAACCACCAGGTGCAGTTTGTGATCATGAGAGTATTTTTTGAGCATTTTAGAAAACCTAAGCCCGCCACAACCTTGAAAATTCCATGATATAAGTTTGAAATCCATAACAAATAGCATAGGAACAATAACTACCTCTACCGATCTTGGTGCATGGTCACATCCATTTGTCCTTCTCTAAGAGGTTGGTCTTGAAGGTTATTCTGAATGTTCTACAACACACCCTTCAAGGCAACTTAAACGGAGGAATGAAGAGGGACATTGGGTTTGATTTTAGCCCCTTTATTTCGAACAACATAGGGGACAACCCTATCTTTGGCACCAACAGAACGACGATTAGAGAGGGTTGTTAGACATCGACTTTTATGATGCTAGAGTTATGGGTCTCGTTATAGACAATGGTCGAATGATGGGAGGGATCCTGAGTGGTGGTCGATGGGGCATCGTTCATTCCTAGAGAAATGTCAAAAATAGGGTTAAGCTTTAAAAGATAATTAACATTGTTGAAGCTTACCGCTTGAACAGCCTTGGATCCAGACACCTTGGTCTTATTCAAGGGAGCGTGCACGTCCGTTATGGTAACTGTTATGGATTCTGCATGGGAACGTGCATTCTAGCTTTTGCATGGGGTCTGCCAAGTTAAATGCTTGTTCAATAGGGAAGTCAACAGAGGAAGACTTGAGCTTTGGACTTCTAGGCTCCACTTTTTGGGAAACGGTCATCTATTGATTTCCTTGATTAGCGGCCTAGGGGCGACAACTGCGGCAAGGGAATCGTCAGAGTGGTTATCGGTTTGAGTAGATTTAGTCAAAGGATGGGGATCAACAACCGGATTTAAAAGTGAAGAATTGGATTGCTCTCCACAATATCCTTCCGGATTTCCTCCGGTAGAGTTGGTCTTCATTCCTTTTCCTATGATGTTTGTAGACAACACATCAAAATAGGATCTATTTGCCTTATTTGGTTTTGTATGATCGGGTTTTTTCGCTAATCCTTATGTTTAACGTCAGCAAAAACGTTCCATGATCATCCAAGGACCGTAGGCCTCGACATCAGTTGCTTTAGTTATATGGTCACCTTGTTCGACGGTTGAAGCTTTGCCTCGAGATGCTTGAGGGTCTGGGATCTCTTGAGGGATATTTTGAGGGTCCTTATAAACATTCGTCGACAGCTTCGGGTTTAGGAGAAGGCATACAGGCTTCTTTTGAGTGGCCAAAACTACTGGAAAAGAAGCAAATGATATGAAGATTCTTTTGTTCCATTGTCTGAATCTTGTTACCGACCGTTACCTTATAGACAAGGGCTCCTTGAGATTAAGGTACTCTGCAAGCCCGACGAAATGTCTTCTATTACTCGTATCTTTATAAAAATCTAGTTTACCGACCTTACCCACAAGACACCTAATACCAGTGAGGATCTTCTTCTTGTACATATACTCTGACAATCTTGGGAAACGGATCCAATCTATAACAGTGGTAAGGTAGGGTTGGGATGTGCGAAAGTCCATAGTTCATGGTTGACTGTCAGATATTGGTCATATATTATCCAAGGATCATAATTAGCTAGAACCTTAATGTAATCTTCATCGACTTTGAACCTTGCGAGAAAATAATTGTTCTCCAAATCAATCAGAGTAAAGGTTGTACTGGTCGCCATAGAGCAAAGGTTTGTTGATGAGAGCGTTAAGGTCAATACTCCGTCCCAACGGCCAACAGTTTTAGGATCACAGTTCTTGCCATACTTGCTTCCGTGAGTTTGTAAGCCATCTCAGAAAATTGTATCAAAGGGACAGTGTTACAAGTTCCGGTGATTAAATTATCGTCTAAAATATTGAGGTCCTTATCTTCCTTGATTTGGGGGTCCCTAGTACTGTTGTCTCCATCTAGATTCCCAGAGAGAATTGATGCATAGATCGTTGTACAATTCCCTGTTCTTCAGTGGCCATCTCCACGTCTTGAATGCCTCCTGCATCGGGAGGTTTGAATCGTACCATTTTAGTGGCGTCAGAAATGGCCGGAGATTCACTAGAAAGTGCTAGCGTGTCGTTTTCACGAGGAGAGATTTCAAAGCTTTCAAAATCCATTCGTGATTCACTTCCCACTTAATCACTTCAAAATAAGTCAAAAATGATTTATAAATTTAAGTTTAATATGAATTAATAAATCCACCATTTAAGCTTCAAAATTTAGATAAACTCAAGACTTTTCAAAATTCTTGGTATACATTATTAAATCTTGCTTTAAAGAGATAAGATATTTAAAAAATTAAATCTTATTAAAAATTAAGGATTCAAGCATTAGAAAGCCTGACTTGACTTGTTTAATAGTTTAAATTTAAACTCAATTGGAAAATAATAATAAAAATTAATAAAATTAGAATAATTTTATGAATATACATATATAATGAATTTAAATGAGAGAACCAAAATGGAGCGATTAAATCAAATCGTTGCATGAACAGTGCATGTATGACAAAAGTGGGAATACTTTATGCAACAAGGAGTGTGTGTGACAACGACCTCTCACTCCCAATCCCACGGCCACAATAATCAGGAGTTAAGCCGATAAGGTGGTTGATGTTTCTTCACATGCCTTCCGGACCTATCGCATCCGGGGTTACTTTCTTTTTCTATTTTCTGTCTTATCTTTACATACTTGTGTTATGATAATAAGAAGATTAAAGTTGCAAGGTGGGGTTATTGAAACAATCTTTTATTAGGCGCAGAGTGGAGAAGCAGGGTCTAGTGTGTATTATTGTACTACAAGATGAATCTCGAGTGAGATATGTTCCCCGTCGGATTTGTTCCATAGATGTTCCATTCATTTGAGTTTTAGACTTTTTTTTAATTTAAATTATTATAAATAAATAATAGTATTTTTAATCGATTATAAAATTACATGAACGTATTGTTAAGATATTTTTATATTTGTATGATTTAATTAAATATATTGTGTTATAGCTATCCCAAACTATTAAAATTTTGAATAGATTTTACGTTATAATCGTGGTATATATCATTAAAGAAAACACTAATAATGGCTTAAAAAATATTCATCGATTTCAACCCACGAAACTTGAATCCTTCCCTTTCAATCAAAATCAGTAGTGCATGCAACTTCAGACCTATTCGATTTACATATTTTATGCTTGCAACCAAAAAGTTAAAACGGATATAAACAAAGCAAAAAGCGAGTAAAAATGTGAAAGGGTAAGGTGTTCCTTTCATCCATCTTGCTTTCAAGTTGAAGCCCTTAAATACAGGCCGACTGTTCCACGTGTCCATCTTTCATGCGTCTTAAATTTATAGCAAACCAGTCATTTCATTGTCATCCCTCAACAACTATTTTGCATCCAAGTTCCAAACACACACGTATCCATATCTTTATGTATTCCCCTTGTTTTTACTTTACTCAATTTGTAGTTTAATTCTCATTAGGTTTTGTTTTTTTTTAAACCATTTATATCCAATTTATTAATCGATTAATTTATATCAAACATTATAAATGTTTTTTGTTAAAATGATTCTTTTAATCAATTTATTTCATCTACAAATGTTAATATTTGAAATTTGATAGTGTCTAAAAAATTTAATGTGATATCCCACTAGACATTAAACATAACTGATTTATAATATTTTAATTTTGAATCTGATTTCCAAGGTTAAAAATTATATCAGCCAACTAAGGGTTTTTTTAAACAGTACTAGTGGTGTGAACAGAGGAATAACATTAACGATACATACATTAAGAGGACTAGATTCTGTGAAATCAAAGTAAAGGGAGCTAAATCCCTAAATTAAGTATAATAAAGGGGTGATAGCAGCATTTGTCCTTTTACTGTTTACGACGATGATAAGTCATGGTATTGTGGATTATCCTTACAGAAAACCTTTTGGCTGCTTATTGGAGACACTGAGACATCCAAGGAAACAAACAAAGCATTGATGGAGGACAAGCTCTCGAAACTTGCTACTGTTTTTTTCTACCGATTCTGGTTTTGTTGTTATTTTTCTTCTCCTTCTTCTATTGACAACGCATTTCCAGACTGTAAATTAATTCCAAGCACAAAGCGACCAACAAATCACTCAATCAGTGAGTCAGCAAGGTGAGTGGATTGGTTTTTTTTTTATAAAAACACCACCTTATATCATTATGTTTCTGTTTTTTAAGAGAAAGAAATGGTTTGATGATTGAGTTATAGGGATACGACGAATGGCAAGAGCCATGTGAGGTATGGGAAGAGGGATGAGAAAGCCAAATCTTTTTCCTTTTTGCTTGCCGATAAAAGGTGGTTTCTTTTGCATGATCTTCAAATAAGCTATTGTGAAGAACTCAGCTTGAGGTAAGCCCTCATTTTCTTCATTTTAAAATGATTTTCCTATTTTCTTTCAAGCATTTCGAACGTGCTCATCAAATTTCCTGGGTTTTTTAAATGATTAATATTCTTATTTTTGAAAATGAAAAATTGTCAATTTGTATGGAAGAAGATGAAGTTGTGGATCACTTCTACTTTTGTAGTTACCAAAAGTAGAAGCTAATGTGATGTTCAAACCTACCTGAAATGAGCTTGTTATGTATACTTTGTTAACTATGATACTTTATTTTTATCTTCGAAAACATCTATCTATCTTCAACCTCATGGTTCATGCCCCGCCATTGATGTTGAAAATGAAACATGGGCATATAAGACATGGACGAACCCTCATCTCTATCAATACTATTTCCAGCTGGTAATTCAATTATTTGTATGGCTATCAATTATTATGGTTTTCTCCTTCCGTTGATAGATTTTTTGAGCGGTCTAATTCTGGTTTTAGTCCCTCTACAATGTGAAATTTGATTCCTTTTATCTTTCTTTATTGTTTGTATTGACGTTCAAGTTATGCAGATATGGAGCCAATAGAAAATTCATTCAAGCAATCCAAATTGATTCCACCATTGCCAAGGGACCCAAGGGGCTCACTCGAAGTGTTTAATCCATCGACTTTATCAACCCGACCCGTTAACCCGGAATTTCGCCCGCACCCCATTTGGGAAAACTTGACAGAGCAACGCGGTGAGGAAGAAGCCGACACTTGCAAGCTAGCCTCTAATTCTGGTCGGGTTGAGGAAATCACATCATGGATGGCACTCAAGGAACCGACTGCTCCTGCACTGTCTTCACTAGCATCATCGCCACACGTTCATAAGTTCACGGGCGATCAAAATGGAGGTGGGACCGCGAGTCCGAAACCTTCCGACGAAGCTGGAGTGGCTGCAAAGAGAGCAGCAGAATGGGGGTTGGTACTGAAAACGGATAACGAAACGGGTAAACCGCAGGGAGTTGTTGTTCGGAATTCGGGTGGGGATGACCCGAATGTCAAGCCGGGCACTTCTCGTAGGAATTCGAATAATTCGTTCGGAGCTCCGAAGAATCGGATAACGAAAATAGCAAGGAGAGAGGGTTCCCTAGAGTATCCGAGGACTTGAAGGATGCATTATCAACGTTCCAACAAACGTTTGTTGTTTCGGATGCCACCAAACCCGATTACCCGATTCTATATGCAAGTGCCGGGTTTTTTAAGATGACCGGATACACTTCAAGGGAGGTCATAGGCAGGAATTGGTAAATAAACATCATGTTGATTTGTTTACTTTTTTACTGTAGTTTTATTAACTGTAAATAACGGTCATGAAAGGGTAATATTGACATTTTGTTGGGATCCAGTCGGTTTTTGCAGGGA